AAAACTCTGGGTCTGAAAAGACCCAGAAATAGGCTGAAACGGGGTAGGGCCTGCAGGCCCTCGTTTTTCAGCATCCAGGCTGAAACGAACGGGGCCTGTAAGCCCTAAGTTTTAGGCTTTTAGGCTGAATGTCCGGGACGGGCCCTGCAGGGCCCGTGTGGCTACACAGTATGCCAACCCCCCCCCCTCCTTGAAGAACCGAGCCTACCTGCGAGGGCGAAGCTGTCTGTCTGAGGGAGGGACCACAGTCCGGGTGGGAGGGGCTGGTCGTGAAGCTTCCTGAGCTAACCTGCGCTTTTCATAATGCGCGTAGATCAGCGGTGCGGATGCTTTCAAATCTGCGCCTGAAATCCACCGAGTGTCGTCGCGATCGCATGCTTTGAATGTGACTTTGTACTGCCGCGGCTTGCTGCCGTACTTGCGATCGGAGATGACGCGGTCAGCTTCCTGATGGCCATCCATAGAAGGAGGGTCCTGCGATCGTCGGTCCGGAAAGTCGTCGCTCTTGGCTGGCGTGTATGTTGCCAGCTTCGAGGCGTGGAAGACYGGATRGACCGTCAGATGCTCTGGAATGTTGATCACAAATGAAGGGCCATCGGGYTCATCGCCCGCAGCTGCTGTCACAGACCAAGGTCCAAACCACTTGGGAAGCAGTTTGCGTGAAACATCCTGTTCCAGTGCAAACTCTTCCGCAGAGACCCAAACCAGATCACCGGCGCGGATGGGACATGGTATGCGACGCCTGTTGGCTTGCTGCTGCATGTGGACTTGAGCCTTTTGCATATTTGTGCGGGCTTGAGTCAGCAATTCCCTGTACTTCCGGACGGAAGCGGGAGAGCACGCAGCGTCAATGTCGGCTGGTCGAGGGAGGAGAAGGTCTGCGAAGATCCGGCCTTTCCGTCCACCGTGGTGCAACTCGAATGGAGTCACGCCGATCACCGGATGCACCGAAGTGTTGTAGGTGAACTCGATGTCGGGGAGGCGGTCAACCCAATCTTTCTGGTCCGGACGGATGAGCGTACGAAGCATCATTTGAGCGGTCTGATGTGCCCGCTCCGTCTGCCYGTCTGTCTGAGGATGTCGAGCCGAACTTGGTTTCATTGTTGTGCCGGACACCTGCATGAGAGCAGTCCAAAACGCCGACATGAAACGAGTCTCACGGTCGCTGATAATGTCTTTTGGTACACCGTGGCCACAAATCCAACCAGTGTGCAGGAGGCGTGCCAGCTCGGGAGCCGTGGAGTAGTACTTGCAAGGGAGAAAACGCGCGTACTTACTCAATCGGTCCACAACCGCGAGGATGCCGTCGTGCCCGAGCCGGTCGCGAGGAAACGGACCGGTGATGTCCATGGCAATGGAGAGACCGGGTTCCCGTGGGATAGGCATCGGGTGTAACTCGCCGTAGGGATTGCGGTTGCGGGGCTTGCTGCGTCGGCAAACTTCGCAAGAGTCGCAGTACCGAGTGACATTGGTAATGAGGTCGGGCCATCGGAATCGCTGTCGAAGCCGTGCAATAGTGCGGTTGACTCTGAAATGGTCGGCGAGTCGTGAATCATGATACTCGCCGAGGAGGCGAGTCCGAAGACGACGGTTGCGTGGGACACATAGTAAGTCCTTGCCTCTCAAGTGAAGGAGCAAGTACTCGTCGGCAATGCGATAATGGCTGGCCGACGGGTGATCCGAAGATAGTTGTGCATAGAGCGTGCCGAAGTCTGGATCAGACTGATATGCCCGGATGAAGTGCCACTGAAGCTCCTCGTCGAATGCGAAGGCATGATGTGACATAGCGCAAAGATCAGGTCTTCGCGAGAGTGCATCCGCTGCGCGATTGGAGAGGTCGGGGACATGTTTCGGTGTGAAGTCAAATTGGTTGATGAAGTACATCCATCGTCCGATCGTGCTGCTCACCGTGTCCTGCGTCTTGTAGTAGGTCAATGGATTGTTGTCTGTGACCCATGTGAACCTACGACGCCCAAGGAGGAAGTGCCGCCAACGCTTGAGAGCCATCACGAATGCGAGCAGCTCCTTTTTCCTTGCATCATCAAGCGAGTTGATGGGAGGCACTTTGTGGCTGAAATACTCCACATCGCCGTCATGCTGTTCCAAGACTGCCCCAATGCCATAGCCGGAAGCGTCCGTAGTCGCTCGCGTCAGCAGGGTGGGGTCATAGATGCCAAGGACGGGTGCCATGAGCATAGCCGTCTTAAGTGCTTGGAATGACCGGCGTGCGTCGTCATCGAATACGAATGGCACCTTTGGGGACTGTAACCTCATCATAGGTGCAGCAATCCTGGAGTATCCGGTGATGAATCGCTGATAGTAGCCCGCCAACCCCATGAATGAACGAACGTTCGTGGTGTTGGTGGGCTCAAGCCATACTCGTAGGGCCTCGATCTTGTCCGCAAGCGGACGGATGCCTTGCGGCGTCACATAGTGTCCCAAGTACTCCAGCTCCTGCTGTGCAAACTCGCATTTGTCGCAGTTTGCTTTGTACTTGGCCTGTCGTAGCCACTCCAAAACGGTGCGCATGTGTTCCACATGCTCGCCCAGACTCCGGCTGTAAACCAGAATGTCGTCGAGGTAGATAAGTACAAAACGATCCAGCATGTGTCGGAACTCCGTTGTCATAGCCGCTTGAAAAGTGGCTGGGGCATTCGTAAGGCTCATACCGTGTCTTGAACGCAGTCTTGTAGCGATCCTCCTTGCGAATCTCGAGTTGGTGGTACCCTGACTTGAGATCCAGCTTAGAGAAGAACTGGGC